ACCTCAAGCTGTCACCCTGGGTAGATGGAATGTTGCGGCATCATAGCTCACAGCAACCTCCATCTCCTGGGCTCAAGGGATTCCCTTGCCTCCGCCTCCCAAGTAGCAAGGAGGACAGGTGCCTGCCACAACATCCGGCTATTCTTCGGTTGCAGTCATCGTTTGGCAGACCCGGGCTGGATTCAGACCCGCCAGCTCAGGTGTATGTGGCTGGTGCCTTAGCCACTTGAGCCACAGGCGCTGAGCTGTGTAGTAGTATTTTTTGATAGGATTGGAGTTGCTAATGTTAAGTAACTATACTTTTCTTCATCACGTTATCTGCTTCTCAGCTGAACTAAATTTGTTTTGAATTCAACATGGCTCAAGCTATCATATGCTCTTCCAGAATGACATGTAAAGAAAGCTTAAAGACTGTGCGTCCCTTCTTGTCATTGTCCTGATGACCCTCTGCTGTTGCTCCTCACAGTGGCCTCGTTCTGACACTCATCACTATGATTTTAGTTAGGTCCATCTTTAAATAGAAGGCAGTGTTTGGGGAAAGGTGTGCTATTTAAGTTTTTGGAAAGTCTTTGGAATGATAAAGATCTTACTGAGAAACTGATTTTCATTTCGTTTTATATTGGTCCTTCTGTGTTACATTTAGACTATTTTAAAGAACCCAGAAAATATAAATGCTTTTCTACTGTTTTTAAATGGTATTTGTTTCATGTTTAATTTTATAAGGTTATTTTGATAGACAAACTTTTTTGAAAGTTAAAGATTTTTGTCAGTTCCGGCAGTGCCTATAGCTCGGTGATTTGGGCACCAGCCACATACACCAAGACTGGCGGGTTCAAGCCTGGCCTGGGCCTGCTGAACAACAATGACAACTGCAACTGAAAAATAGCCGGGCGTTGTGGTGGGCACCTGTAGTCAGTTACATGGGAAGTTGAGGCAAGAGAATCGCTTAGGCCCAAGAGTGAGGTTGCTGTGACACCATGGCACTCTACCAAGGGCAACATAGTAAAATTCTGCCTCACAAAAAAAGGATTTTTGTCAGTTCCATTGCAATAGAATAGAACTGACAAAAATCCTTCTTTTTTCAGTCCTGCAGAAATTGTGCAACTAAGCAGTTGAAATAGATAATGTACATGTACTAGTTGTTTGGGTTTTTTTAAACCCTAGACAAATAATTCTGTCATTTGTTGTAAATCAGACACATCTGAGACTGAGGCAAGAGAATCATTTAGGCCCAAGAGCTGGAGGTTGCTGTGAGCTGTGATGCCATGGTACTCTGCTGAGGGCAACAAAATGAGACTCTTATCTCTTTAAAAAAAAAAAAAAAACCACTGAGTAAAAAAGATTTGTGCTTTAATGCAATCTTAGTTGCATTAAAATATAATGCAATAACACAGTTTCTTTAGGTTATGCATTTTTGCTTATGAAAAATGTTGAGGTATAGTTCCTGGAACATTAATTTCCTAAGACAAGATAGTATACTCTTCCTCCACTCAAAAGAAGGTAATAGACAGAGGCCCTTTGAATGTGTGCAGTATTTTAAGTACATAGTTTAGTGTATGGAATGTGTGTTGCTTTTTCAGCATTATAAAATTGGAAGTCAAACTATCTTCAACATGCTAAGTTAACCATCTCTGTTTCTTTAGGAATTAATTAGGGTGGCGCCTGTGGCTCAGTGGGTAAGGCACCAGCCCTATATACCAAGGTTGGTGGGTTCAAACCCGGCCCCAGTCAAACTGCAACAAAAAATAGATGGCCTGTAGTCCTAGCTACTCAGGAGGCTGAGGCAAGAGAATCACCAAAGCCCAGGAGCTGGAGGTTGCTGCGAGCTGTGACACCATGGCACTCTACCAAGGGCGACAGAGTGAGACTCTAAAAGAGTGTAAAAGAGACTCTGTCTAAAAAAGAAAAAAATAAAGTTAAATTAGCATGTAAACATACTTAGTAACCTTTCAGAAATAAGGTATTTAGGCTCGGCGCCTGTGGCTCAAGTGGCTAAGGTGCCAGCCACATACACCTAAGGTGGTAGGTTCGAATCCAGCCCGAACCCTCCAAACAACAATGATGGCTGCAACCAAAAAAAAAAAAAAAAAAAGCCAGGCATTGTGGTGGGTGCCTGTGGTCCCAGCTACTTGGGAGGCAGAGGCAGGAGACTCGCTTGAGCCCAGGAGTTGGAGGTTGCTCTGTGCTGTGATGCCACGGCACTCTACCCAGGGGTACAACTTGAGGCTCTGTCTGGAAAAAAAAAAGAAGGTATTTAATTTCAAGAGGAATACTAAAGCATCATGGATGTGAACATCAATATACTTAAATGAGAACATCTGACCAGTATTTCAAATGCTGGAAAAATACTGAAATCAGAATACATAAAGCTACAAAAATAAATAAGATAAACTCTACCCTTAATATTATAGTCAGATGGGAAAGTCACGCCTGCCTGTGTATAACTATCAGTCGAGCTAGGTGTTGAGTGTCGTAGTGGGGTAAAGGAATGCTGAGCGGTCACTCGAGAGCTGAGTGGACAGAGCCAGGGCAGCCCATCTGGGCAGGCCAATGAGGAGGTAGCTGATGGATGGCCGGAACTTGCCCATGGCTGAGTGCAGAGCAGGCCAGGCAGAGTGGAGAGAAGCCTCAGGTGGGAAGGAGATAGGTGTCTAGCACTACACCTGCCATCTTACTGGAAAGAGTCCCTTGCTTATACTCTGTGCTAAAAGTGTGGGCTTACCTGGCCAGGTTATAACCATGATCTCACATGCCAACCACAGCTGACTGGACTCCTTACGAGGGAAGAACAACTGACAGGCCAGGCTGAGCTGGTCAGCTTCTCAGTGATCTGTGCTGTAAAATTCAGAGGTAGGTAATGATACTTTCATAAATGAAAACATCATTTAGAACTGGCCCAGAAGTCAATGAAGCAAGCTAAAGTCTAAAGGGAACGGAATGTGCGGAGAAAATCCATCTAGAGAGGAAAGCTCCAGGTTTGCAGGGCCAGGAGACTGCCCTAGAGGCCTTACAACTCTACTCTCAAGGTGACACAGCTGTGCTTGGTTCCTGCCCCTGGAAGCCAACGATTTTGGCTGTTTTGTCCTTAAATTAAATCCCCTTTTTATTGAACAAGCTTGAGTAGGTTTTCTGTTCCTTCCCATCAGAAGACTTGGATGCCCTGTGATTTAAAAGCTGTGATGCTGCTGGCTGAGAAGACAGTGCAGGATGTGCTTGAATTTGCTGGTTGTGAAATAACTGCCAATGTCCTGCAGTTTTTAGGAATGGGCCTGAGACCCAGGAGAGGTTAAAGCTAGATACTGATCTCCCTACTGATAGTTTATAGACATGATTAAGGCAGAAAGACAGCTGAGGACAAAATTGGGGGAAATGCGCTTAAAGGATGAGCAAAGACAAAAAAGATGGAACTGAAATCAGAACACCAGGGGGGCACAGATCTCTCAGACACAAAAGTGGCTTTGTGGTGGTAGCATGGTACAGAGAAAAAGCTTGTAAACCAAAGACCACATTCGCTGAGTACCTGGAAGACAGATGCTTCTCCGAGCAGAAGCTGTGTGGATACAGTTTGAGCTGTAGATATTAGGAAACCATAAAGAATAGTGCTATAGCAAAGTTTAAAAGAGTACATAAAACAAGTTTGTAATTTTATCAAATACCTAAGAAGTATATACCATTTTATTTTGTGAATGAGCATACCATCTTGTACTTAGCAGCGTAGTGTAAGGCTGGTTTTGAGCTGAGTAATAGAGAGTGATTGCTGTGAGATTTGGAAGGAAGCTCACAGCACATTCAGATATGCAGAGGAAACAGATTTTCCTGCAGAATTTGTATGTCCTTCCTCTTGAACCCCTACTTAGCAGTAAGTCTGGAAAAAAAGTCAGCTTTTGGCCAGTTTCAGAGGTACCTGCTATAAAGGGATGTAGTTTCTATCTTTAGCTATCGGAACACATGGTCGCACTTCTGTCCTCTGTCGTCTCTCTCAAGTGGCGTCCAGAGACACGGAGGAGGGAGCTTATGAAACACTGGCTCAGACTCAGGGTCCTGAGCTCTGCCACTCTGGGCCTCCTGCTGGCCTGTATTGGACACCAGCTTATGAAATATGCAGTCAGGTCTCTGGCCTGGTGACACCCAGTAGTCCTTGGCTGAGCTGGCCTCGCCTCACTCCACCTCATGTGGCCCAATGCAGGACAGATCAGAGGTGAACTATGTCCACCCCACTGCAGGCTCCTGGGAAGCCTCTGAGCTTCCTCCTCAGCTGTCTTCCCTAGGAAGGAGGAGGGGACTCGTGTGTTCCTTCCACAGCACACAAGAAAGAGGCAGCAGCCTGGGAAAAAACGCACGGCTGAGGGTCACCGTGCTGTCATGCTCTGAGCAGGATCCAGCAGACTCCTCGCTATTCTGCGTGTGATGTGATGAGACATAGTGGGCTGCTGCCACGTGGAGCGACGTGAGCGACCCCCACGGACGCCGCCCAGAAGCAGCCGGGCACGGAGGGCGCACGCTGTGTCTGATGCAGCGGGTGAAGTTCAAACGTGGGAAGACCGCTCTGTGTTAGGGGTCAGGGCGGGGTTGTCTGTGAGGGACGGTCTGTGCCTATGTGCGTCTGCCTGTATTTGTGACCATGCCTACCCAGGTGCGGTGTGTAGAATACTTTTCAACTTCTAAACTTCACTGGGACTTTGCTACCAGGAACCTCTTTACCACTTCCTAACAGTGGAGACATCCATAATGGCTTTACTTGTATTCTTATTTTCATGTAAAAGAAATCAGTCCCCTGGTTTCATTCTCCACAGTTAAAATTTTCATCTCTATGTTGTAAATTTATTTTTTAAAAATTGCCCTACTCAGGTTTCAATAGAGGGTCACACACAGTCCAATACAGTTGTTGCCTTTTACACACCTGTAAAGAGTAACTTGTATTAAAGAAAACAAATTTAATAGGCTATAAAATATTAATCTCTGTGAAAATAAAACAAGTGTATGAAAATTAAAGCTGCTTTTCATATGTGTTGCCCCACCGGGATGAGAGCAAAGCCTGCATTAGCTGAGTGGCCGTGGGCCTCCCCGATGCTGGGCGTCCAGTAGTAATGCTTCTTCAGGCCGTGGGAGACCTCTGCCAGGTGCACATGCCCGTCCACGGTGAAGGGCTCCACGTCAGTGTCCTCGGGCTTTAGATGGCCCATCTGAATTAACTCTGAATATGCCTAGCATTTTTTAAAAAAAAAACTATCACTGAGGAAGTAATTTACAGTGCTTAAAAATTCAAATTAAGTGCTAGTTTGTAGTTTAAAATTAATATTCTGAATAATAGTCCTGGATTTTAGTATTGTCCGAGTAATGTAGGTAGGTTTTTAGTCATTTAATTATACACAATGAAATAATGCCACAACAATTTCTAAGTCTTAATATAGTTTAGGTATGTTTCATCATATGTGACTCCTCTCTGTACTGCCAATGTGGGCCACGGATCCTATGGTCAACATTTTCAAGTCCCAACAGATGTTCTTAAACATCTGTTACATGTGGGCGGTGCAGCAAGACAGCAGTTGTACACACTCTGGAAAATCTGATGACAGCTAGGGGCAGAGAGGTACCTTGAGTTCATTTTTCCCCTGAAGCTACAGATTTAGGCAAAGACAAGACAATTCTGCATTATTAGATGCTGCCTGTTAATTATTTCTTCACTGCAAAATTTTCTCTGTACATCTACAGATCCTTGGTACCTATAGAAGGGTGTCACAGACATGTTGAACTGGTTGTCAATATAAAGATGAAAAATTAGATATTAAAAAATGCAAAGGGTAGTTTGCTTTCCCCTTTAGCCTGGTACTCACCTAAAGTTCCAAACTCAACTTGGCTCCTAGTGTGTAGAACTATTAAAAGGTTTGGATATTTTTCTCAAAGGTTTTTTATTTTTTATTATATATACATATATATATATATTTTTTTTTTTTTTTTTTTTGAGACAGAGTCTCAAGCTATCACCCTGGGCAAAGTGCCATGGCGTCACAGCTCCCAGCAACCTCAAACTTTGGGGCTTAATCAATTCTCTTGAGTCAACCTCCCAACAGGCGCCCACCATAATGCTCAGCTATTTTTGTTGTTGTTGCAGTTGTCATTGTTTTAGCTGGCCCAGGCCAAGTTTGAACCCACCAGCCTCGGTGTATGTTGGCTGGCACCCTACCCACTGAGCTACAGCACTGCCAAAGGGTTTTTATAGACAGTAGTGTACAGTTTATTAATTTTCTTAGTGGTAGAATTCTGGTTAACTTCTTTTGCAAATTTTTAGAATTTTAACGTCTACGTTTTCCTTCATCCCTTCCAAATGATAACTCTTTGTTATGCTTTTGGTTCATTTTGAGAGTAAAACCCAGAGCTCTCTAAATAAATAATATGCAAAATATCTTGATAGCTTGTACTATCTCCAAGTCCCTATTTTTGTATAACTATTAGAGAAGAGATCAGAAGTTTGTTTTCTTTTTTTTTTTTTTTTTGAGACAGTCTAACTATGTCATGCTGTAGTGTCACAGCTCACAGCAACCTCCAACTCTTGGGCTCAGGTGATTCTCTTGCCTCAGCCTCCCAAGTAGTGGAACTACAGGTGCCTGCCACAACGCCCGGCCATTTTTTTTGTTGCAGTTGTCATTGTCGTTTGGCAAGGCCAGCCTCAGTGTATGTTGCCGGCGCCCAGAGATTAGAAATTTTGCTATGTCAATTGTAGGGGTTTTTTTAGCTTTGGAAAAATTACACTGAACTACACTGAATTACACAGTATAATACTAATACGTGGTACTTTGTATCTTTTGTTATTTCAACCACAAAATTTTCTGGTAACTAATCTTTTGGAATTATGTTAAAAACTGTCAAAGGCTCAGCGCCTATAGCTCAACCGGCTAAGGCGCCAGCCACGTACACCTAAGGTGGCAGGTTCGAATCCCCAGCCCGGACCCGCCAAACAACAATGATGGCTGCAACCAAAAAATAGCCGGGCGTTGTGGTGGGCGCCTGTGGTCCCAGCTACTTGGGAGGCGGAGGCAGGAGACTCGCTTGAGCCCAGGAATTGGAGGTTGCTGTGAGCGTGACGCCACGGCACTCTGTCCAGGGGGACAGCTTGAGGCTCTGTCTCAAAAAAAAAAAACTGTCAAAACTGCAATGTCTCAGTAAACTTTCTAACCGTTACTAAGACACCTGTAAATAAAATCTGATGTTAAAGAGAAGATGCAAGAAAAGCCTTCAGTGAAGAAAGAAACTCACTACACACGTGGCCTCATCAAACTTGTTTCCCCAGATGTAGATGTTGGAGAACACGGGGTTTGTCCTCACGGCCGCTGACAGGGCGACCAGCCCTTCCCCCTCGATGTTGTTGCTCACCACGGACAGCCTGCGGGCAGGGGAGGGAGAGCCCTGAGGCCAGCAGCTCCACAGGACAGGAGTGCAGCAGTTACCAGCCGCTTTGTTACTGACGTTTTCTGGGTAAAGTCCTAGCATTACTCTTTAATTTGTTTAACTAGTGTAAAACCCAAGAAACTGAGCATTCTAACTGGATGCTTCACATGCCATGATAGGCCTACCTACATTTTGAAGAGTAGCTATCTACTCTTTTATATTATTCAGCAAATATTTGGCTAGACGCATGATAAAAATATATAGATACATTTTTCTGGATGAAAGTTGTCTAAGTAATACTTTCTTCTTTAATTCTTATTTTGAAGTCCTGACCATATTGAATGTTTCTGATTCTTCTCTTAGAATCCAGGATAAATAATGTAAGTAATGAGAATTTCTCATTAATTTTAAGGAGAAATCATAACTAGAATCAAACAGTCCAATTAGTAAAGGACATTACTTTTGAAAAAACAGAAACTGAAACGTTTACTGCCACTTAGTACTATTCTAGATCATAAGCTGGATTTTCATATCTCATCATAATCGTAAGAGTTAAGGGCTTTAAGGTTAGTATTTAAAATTTTAGGTTTTTCTGTGACTTTGATTAAATATGAAACCATACTAACGCTTTAAGACTTCTGTTGTGTGAAGTAAGGGTTTTGCTGAGATAGTCTGCACCCACGTTTTCTATTCTATTAAAAGAAAGATCAATCACTTCCAAGGTAGTATTGCTTTTCAGTACATTGGCCAAATACATCATTCCGTCACGAGTTATTTGATTGCTGGAAAAGGAAAAATATATTTGAAAATATGAAATATTGTTCTTGTCACAGAAACAAGATGCTTGAAAACTGTTAAACTATGCTTTCTATTTCATTAAAATTTACTTTAATCATTCAATTTCCAAGAAAGTTAATGAACATGCACCGTGAAATGTTGTTTTTTTTTCATTCTGGTATACACAACCAAATTCCCCACTCAAGTTATTAAGAGATAACAGTATAAATTAAATTAATAATATTACGGCTTAGGATAAGAGGTTGGCAACAATGGTTGCAATGTTAATCATGGTACCCCCGCCCATGACTCCTGACACAAATCGCGTTCTTGACTTGACGTCTGCACTGAGGAGCAGCGCACTCACCAGCTGACGTCCAGGTAGCGCAGGGCGCTGTTGAGACGCAGAGCCTCACACAGCTGCTGCATGCCGAAGCTCTTGATGCCGTGCTTGCACAAGTGCAGCTCAACGAGAACGTGATTTTCTTTCAACATGTGGCCAAGATGGACTGTGGACTCTTCCTAAAAATGAATTAAAGTCTTACTTCTAAAATATATTTTTGAACTAGTACATGTTACTCCAAATAAATGCTATTTTTTAAAAACGTTATGTTGGTTAAGACTGTTAGTATAGAATTTGCATTTGTTTGGCCCTATCTAAAAAAAAAATCATCTTCGTGACAAATGATATCTTTAGCTTCAGAGATAGGCGGCAGGCACTTGTAAAACACCATGACTCATGTCCTTAGGATAAAATGATTGTTTTTCTTCTCGGTAGATGCCCAGTAATAGGTTTGCAGGATCAAATGGGGGGTCTAGTTTGAGTTGAGGGTTCTCAATACTTCCTTCCAAAAAGGTTGTATTAGTTTGCAATCCCACCAGCAGAGTAAAAATGTTCCCTTCTGTCCACATCCATGCCAGCACCTGCAGCTTTGAGACTTTGTGATGTGGGCCCTTCTCACTGGAGTTAGGAGATATCTCAGGGTGGTTTTGATTTGCATTTCTCTGATGATTAGGGATGATGAGCACTTTTTAATATGATTGTTAGCCATTCGTCTGTCTTCTTTAGAGAAGGTTCTGTTCATCTCTCTTGCCCAATAATATAAGGGATTGTTGGCTCTTTTTGTTGTTGTTGATTAATTTGAGTTATTTGTGCCAGGTGCAGTGGTACACACCTGCAATCCTAGCACTCTGGGAGGCCAAGGCCAGTGGATTGCCGGAGCTCACCGGTTCCAGACCAGCCTTAGCCAGAGTGAGATCCCGTCTCTAAAAATAGCCTATAATCCTACCACTCTGGGAAGCCAAGGCAAGTTGATTGCTTGAGCTCATGAGTTTGAGACCAGCCTGAGCAAAAGCAAGACCCTGTCTCTACTAAAAACAGAAAAACTGAGGCAAGAGGATCGCTTGAGCCCAAGAGTTGGAGAGGTTGCTGTGACCTATGTATGACACCAGGACTTTCTACCCAGGGCAACAGCTTGAGACTCTGTCTCAAAAAAATAATAATAATAATTTGAGTTATCTGTAGATTCTAGTTATCAAGCTTTTGTATGATTCATAATATGTAAATATCTTTTCCCATTCTGAAGGTTGTCTTATTTACTTTGGTTATTATCTCCTTAGCTGTACAGAAGCTTTTCAGTTTAATTAAGTCCCATTTGTTTATTTTTATAGTTGCGATTACCACTGAAATCTCCTTCATAAAATCTTTCCCCAGGCCAATATCTTCAAGTGTTTTTCCTACACTTTCTTCAAGGATTCTTATTGCTTCATGCCTTATATTTAATTCTTTTATCCATCTTGAATCAATTTTTTGAACTAGACTGTTTACTGCAGTCTGTTACAATTGCCAAATTTGGAAACAACCTAAATGCCACCAATCCAGGAATAGGTTAACAAGCTGTGGTACATGTATACCATGGAACACTATTCAGCCACTAAAAAAGATGGAGACTTTGTATCTTTTGTATTAACCTGGATGAAGGTGGAACACATTCCTCTTAGTAAAGTGTCACCAGAATGGAAAAGCTAGAATCCAATGTACTCAATTCTAATATGAAGGCAGTAGATGAGCTAATTCAAGGTGGGGTGTAGAGGAATAAGGGGATGGGGAGAGAGGAGGAGGGAGGAGGATGGGGTCATGGCGTACAGCACACCTCTCAGGGGCGGGACACAATTATAAGAGGGCATTTACCTAACAACCACTATCAGTATAAACTAATGCTTTGTACCCTCGATGAATCCCAAACATAAAAATAAGTTAATTAAAAAGGTTTTTAAAAAACACCATGATGGATGTGAAGGAGTCTGCTTAATTTGGTTTTAAAAAAACAAGCATGCATTTCAGAAGGAAAATAATCAAAGCAGTCAGCCCCACCCTGCAATGCAGATGTAAACCACCTTCCGCCTTCCCTGTGTCCTGAGCTTTGATCCTGGACTCCATCCCTTTTTTTTTTTGATACAGTCTATGTCATTCTTGGTAGAGTGCCATGGCGTTACAGCTCACAGCAACCTCAAACTCTTGGGCTCAAGTGATTCTCTTGCCTCAGCCTCCCAAGTAGCTGGGAGTACAGGCACCCACAACAACACCTGGCTATCTTGTTGTAGTTGTCATTTTGTTTGGCAGGCCCAGGCTGGGTTCCAACCCACCAGCCTTGGTGCATGTGGCAGGCACCCTAACCACTGAGCTATGGGTGCCAAGCCCCAGTCTCCATTCTTGATGTTTAATAGACAAAACGCAAAGAAATGCAATTTACCAATCTTGATTTTATTTAAAAAATTAACCCTGTGATGTGTCTGATTCCTCCCTTTTATAATCATCCCAAATTCCTAATATGTGCGTTTTTAACAAAACCAAAGCATTATTTTGAAATGAATGGGCCAAAATTTTTCTTTTTTGAGTCAGAGTCTCACTTTTTTCACCCATAGGAGAGTGCCTGGAGTCACAGCTCACAGTAACCTCAAATTCTTAGGCTCAAACGATTCTCTTGCCTCACCTCTCAAGAAGCTGGGACTACAAGTGCCTGCCACAACGCCTGGCTATTTTTTTTTTTCTTTTTTAGTGACAGAGTCTCCCACTTATTCAGGCTGATCTCGAACCTGTGAGCTCAGGCAATCCACCTGCCCAAGCCTCCCTGAGTGCTAGGATTACAGGAGTGAGCCACCATGCCCAGCTGGGCCAAAATATTTTGTGCCAAGACATCCTCTTGCATGATTGCTGAATAGTATGTAATGAGTTTCATAGTGGCTGAAAATGATGAAGAACATGGAAAACTTCATATATTTTTTATTATGTAAAAGTACTTTGAGAAAAACTTTCAAAAGTTAAATGAAACCACATAGCAATAGCAGAAAACACACGAGCTTTATAAGAGAACTGTCCAGATGCTCGTTTACTAGCTGTATGACTTTGGGCAAATTATTTGACCCAGCTGAGTCTTGGCTCCCTTTTCTGTAAAGTAGGTAAATTATTAGATTGTGTTTTCCTTATAGAATTAAATCAATTCACAAACACCTAGTACAAAATATGTGTTCTATAGCTGATTGCAAAGCATTCAGTAACTGTTCACTATTCCACAATTCTGTATTTGATTTGCTGAAATTATTGCATTAACACTAAAAAGATTTATCCAAGGTAGATTTATCCATTCTACCCTAGAATGCTGTGTAGTCGAGGGTTGTAAAAAATGCAAACTGACCACTTGGGCGGGGGGGAGGGTGCCCGCTCAGTGCCCGGCACAGGACAGACTCAGCTCATCTCTGTTTGTGCCCGGACTGCAGTTGCAGGCTGAAAGCAGGATGAGAAAGTTCCTTATGGAAAACAGCTTTTACTGTCAGAAGTAGTCAAAGGGATTATACTCAGTCTCATACTCAGTCCAGAGTGGCCCCTGGCACTGGCACTTTCTCAAGCTCCCAAGATAATGCCAGTGAGTAAAAGTGGGACCCAACATCTCACCACTCTTTACTTTGTTACCCGTGTTTCTTCATAGTGAGAAGAGCAACCCCTCAAATGGAAGAGGTCTGCAGGCTCACATCTGGAAACAGTGGAGCAGCACAGAGGCCCTGGCCCACAACCTCGTAAGAGTGCATAGGACCCCCAGGGACAGACAGGCTAGTGCCGGGGGGGACAGAGAAACTGGAGCCTCACCGGGCCTGAGAAAGGCGCCCTGTGGGTCACACAGTATTCTCAGGTGGATTTGGGAATCACGGCACCACTCAACGTATTTCAAAGAGGAATTGTACTTATTACAACATTATTTCCATGGGGACGTCGTCCACGAAGAATTTTTTTGAGGCAGGGTCTCGCTATGTTGCTCAGCCACTGCACCCAGCCCTTACTTTTATTTGTAAATAGGAGGTTACAAGACAATTCTAAAAATGCAATATATTCCTAAACTTTACAGTAGTTTACAGTACAATTCTAAAAATGCAATATATTCCTAAACTTTAGGTACCTTAGTTTTATTATGCGTACATTAACTACCATCACTTTGAATACATACCTGCTCTCCATACAGTATGGGTCGGTTAAGGTTTATCCCCTTAATCGCTTGGTTTTGGGTTAGCACTGTAGCAAATGCTATCACACTTTGCATCCCCTAAAAACAGGTAAATTCATTAAGGAAACTGACAAAGTATATAAATTAATCTCCCTAAATAAAAACTTCAAGATTGGTTCAGCGCCTGTAGCTCAAGTGGCCAGGGTGCCAGCCACATAC